CCCAAACTATGGAAAGAACCTAGATGTCCATCAACAGATGAATGGATAAAGAAGATGTGGTATATATACACAATGGAATACTATGCAGCCATCAAAAGAAATGAAATGTTGCCATTTGTGACGATGTGGATGGAACTAGAGGGTATCATGCTTAGTGAAATAAGTCAATCAGAGAAAGACAACTATCATATGATCTCCCTGATATGAGGAAGTGGAGATGCAACATGGGGTTTAAGGAGGTAGGAGAAGAATAAATGAAACAAGATGGGATTGGGAAGGAGACAAACCATAAGTGACTCTTAATCTCACAAAACAAACTGAGGGTTTCTGGGGGGAGGGGGGTTGGGAAAAGGGGAGTGGGGTTATGGACACTGGGTATGGTATGTGCTATGGTGAGTGCTGTGAAGTGTGTAAACCTGGCGATTCACAGACCTGTACCCCTGGGGATAAAAATATATTATATGTTTATAAAAAAATAAAATATATACCAAAAAATATATATATTTTCTCATTTCTCTTTTACCAAGACAGTGGCAAGTAAAATTTCCAATCCAGGAGACGTCCCAGAACCTACCCCTCCAATCCCCTCCCTGTCACATCCCCTCACCATGCTCCCTATCTCCTCATCCCAAGCCTCTCAGGCTCCTCCTATCATAACCATCTCTTTATTTCAGTGTATATCTTTCCTGGGTCCATTCTGAAGGGTGCTCAGATCTTCATGGTGTTGTAGTCAGTGTTTCCCAATGAAAAGCAGCCTGCTGGCTGAGAGTCTATACTGTAGGGAGAGTTACCCTAAGGAAACCTTATGCATTTAACCTGCTCTGCCCAATTTGGTGACACAGGCCATGCATACATGTGGACCATTATGTGTGGAATGTCCCAATAGATATGTGCTGTAGTTCTGGGGAACTCACCAGATTTCAAAGACATAGCATAAAAAATAATGTAAAATTTTTCATATTTTTATATTTAATTCATATTGATGCAATAGTACATTTTCCTTTTTTTTAATCTTCTTCCCATTTCAAATAGATTTTTATTTTCCAAATTATGATTTATATCACTTTTGAACATTTATTTATTTCACATCTACATTTTATGGATTTATGCCTCATGCTAATCCTTTTTTCACTCTATTCAATTATATATATTCAATTATATTTATATACAATATAGTTATTTTACAATATATTTTTGTGTGTATATATTTGTATTTGTGTATGTGTATATATATGTGTATATATGTGTGTATATATGTATATGTATATATACATATATGTTTATATATGTGTGTGTATATATACACATATATGTACACACACACACACACACATAAAGTTCTGCTTCCTTCACAATTTTGGGAAATAATGTCTTCTAACACAGAGACCAGAATTCAAACAGAAACAAGCATATCACCCTGCTTTGTCCCC